GGTGTTTCTCCACAGAGAATGTTGTTAGAGCCAGCAGATCTGCTACCTCTGTCTCTAGAGAGGGTGTTCTCCACAGAGACATTGTTAGAGCCAGCAGATCTGCTACCTCTGTCTCTAGAGAGGGTGTTCTCCACAGAGACATTGTTAGAGCCAGCAGATCTGCTACCTCTGTCTCTAGAGAGGGTGTTCTCCACAGAGACATTGTTAGAGCCAGCAGATCTGCTACCTCTGTCTCTAGAGAGGGTGTTCTCCACAGAGACATTGTTAGAGCCAGCAGATCTGCTACCTCTGTCCCTAGAGAGGGTGTTCTCCACAGGACATTGTTAGAGCCAGCAGATCTGCTACCTCTGTCCCTAGAGAGGGTGTTCTCCACAGAGACATTGTTAGAGCCAGCAGATCTGCTACCTCTGTCTCTAGAGAGGGTGTTCTCCACAGAGACATTGTTAGAGCCAGCAGATCTGCTACCTCTGTCTCTAGAGAGGGTGTTCTCCACAGAGACATTGTTAGAGCCAGCAGATCTGCTACCTCTGTCTCTAGAGAGGGTGTTCTCCACAGAGACATTGTTAGAGCCAGCAGATCTGCTACCTCTGTCTCTAGAGAGGGTGTTCTCCACAGAGACATTGTTAGAGCCAGCAGATCCTGCTACCTCTGTCCCTAGAGAGGGTGTTCTCCACAGAGACATTGTTAGAGCCAGCAGATCTGCTACCTCTGTCTCTAGAGAGGGTGTTCTCCACAGAGACATTGTTAGAGCCAGCAGATCTGCTACCTCTGTCTCTAGAGAGGGTGTTTCTCCACAGAGACATTGTTAGCGCCAGCAGATCTGCTACCTCTGTCTCTAGAGAGGGTGTTCTCCACAGAGACATTGTTAGAGCCAGCAGATCTGCTACCTCTGTCTCTAGAGAGGGTGTTCTCCACAGAGACATTGTTAGAGCCAGCAGATCTGCTACCTCTGTCTCTAGAGAGGGTGTTCTCCACAGAGACTTTGTTAGAGCCAGCAGATCTGCTACCTCTGTCTCTAGAGAGGGTGTTCTCCACAGAGACATTGTTAGAGCCAGCAGATCTGCTACCTCTGTCCCTAGAGAGGGTGTTCTCCACAGAGACATTGTTAGAGCCAGCAGGTCTGCTACCTCTGTCCCTAGAGAGGGTGTTGTCCACAGAGACATTGTTAGAGCCAGCAGATCTGCTACCTCTGTCCCTAGAGAGGGTGTTGTCCACAGAGACATTGTTTAGAGCCAGCAGATCTGCTACCTCTGTCTCTAGAGAGGGTGTTCTCCACAGAGACATTGTTAGAGCCAGCAGGTCTGCTACCTCTGTCCCTAGAGAGGGTGTTCTCCACAGAGACATTGTTAGAGCCAGCAGATCTGCTGCCTCTGTCTCTAGAGAGGGTGTTCTCCACAGAGACATTGTTAGAGCCAGCAGATCTGCTACCTCTGTCTCTAGAGAGGGTGTTCTCCACAGAGACATTGTTAGAGCCAGCAGATCTGCTACCTCTGTCTCTAGAGAGGGTGTTCTCCACAGAGACATTGTTAGAGCCAGCAGATCTGCTACCTCTGTCTCTAGAGAGGGTGTTCTCCATAGAGACATTGTTAGTGCCAGCAGATCTGCTACCTCTGTCCCTAGAGAGGGTGTTCTCCACAGAGACATTGTTAGAGCCAGCAGATCTGCTACCTCTGTCTCTAGAGAGGGTGTTCTCCACAGAGACTTTGTTAGAGCCAGCAGATCTGCTACCTCTGTCTCTAGAGAGGGTGTTCTCCACAGAGACATTGTTAGAGCCAGCAGATCTGCTACCTCTGTCTCTAGAGAGGGTGTTCTCCACAGAGACATGTTAGAGCCAGCAGATCTGCTACCTCTGTCTCTAGAGAGGGTGTTCTCCACAGAGACATTGTTAGAGCCAGCAGATCTGCTACCTCTGTCTCTAGAGAGAGTGTTCTCCACAGAGACATTGTTAGAGCCAGCAGATCTGCTACCTCTGTCCCTAGAGAGGGTGTTCTCCATAGAGACATTGTTAGAGCCAGCAGATCTGCTACCTCTGTCCCTAGAGAGGGTGTTCTCCACAGAGACATTGTTAGAGCCAGCAGATCTGCTACCTCTGTCTCTAGAGAGGGTGTTCTCCACAGAGACATTGTTAGAGCCAGCAGATCTGCTACCTCTGTCTCTAGAGAGGGTGTTCTCCACAGAGACATTGTTAGAGCCAGAAGATCTGCTACCTCTGTCTCTAGAGAGGGTGTTCTCCACAGAGACATTGTTAGAGCCAGCAGATCTGCTACCTCTGTCTCTAGAGAGGGTGTTCTCCACAGAGATGTTGTTAGAGCCAGCAGATCTGCTACCTCTGTCTCTAGAGAGGGTGTTCTCCACAGAGACATTGTTAGAGCCAGCAGATCTGCTACCTCTGTCTCTAGAGAGGGTGTTCTCCACAGAGACATTGTTAGAGCCAGCAGATCTGCTACCTCTGTCTCTAGAGAGGGTGTTCTCCACAGAGACATTGTTAGAGCCAGCAGAT